TGTTAGGTCATCCCAATATTTTTACAACAATGGATTAAAATACAGATCTTTTATTCCTTGTCATAGGACGTGAAACTCTGTACCACCATTCTGAGCCTGAAATGACGATTTGGATACCAAAGTGTCTTTATTTTCTCTCTGACTAAACATTTTCGAAGTCGTTACAAGAAGTTTAATACAAAACACTCAAACTAACTTAGGGTGAAATTCCTTCCTTTCACCCGAGTGGTCAATAAATGGAATACCTTACTCGGAGAAGCGGTAAGTTTCACCAGTGAACGCCTCAATGTGGAAACTAGATCTTCGAAAAGAGATACAAGGATCAAAGCAAGTCAACTAATCTACTATCTTTGCCACTGAAGACTTCCATCTCTCTTGAACCAAAATTGACAAGTATCTCTGGAGTGAAAAATAATGTTTGAAAAAGCCAGGTGGTCCTAAGATTGCCAACCACTGTGTCTCAGCTAACGTCGGAGTTAATGAGAAAACCGTCTACATACGTGTATCAGTGTGAGCTTTTAAGGAATGATGGACAGTTCGAACCCAATGACCCTGTATGTCCAAACAAAAAGAATGCGTTGCAGACTACACATGAATTGTACTACACTTATTGACGAACTAACGACTAGGATTTCACTGAAAATTATTCACTTAGAGGACATAACTGATCATTCCAGAATTACTTGCCCATCAGTCGGCCAAAACGTAGGACCAGGAACACATATGCATCGGTCCAGGTTGCCACACCTCATTAGCACAACAAGATGAACACCGAATTCAAATAGTCACGTCAATGGTAGTAATATATAAAAGAAAGATTGTGCGTAAGGATAAAGTACAGGAATAGAGAATTAGTTGGAAGGAAGAAAGATATAAAGCAATTTTAATCTCGCGGTTTAAGGGAAGACAGAGTGTATACATTTAAGGCTTTGTGATTGATTCTGAGCCATGTCACACACAGTCTCCAAACATTGGCTACGATAGTCGCGTGAACCCTGACTAAATAGTCTGCATCTATCAACATGACTCAGAACAGAAGTTAGTGACTTAAAAATGTACGTAACGGGTTACTTTAGCACATTCATTTAACACATAAATTAGAATCTCGCCAATACATTAATAAATAAAATGATCAGGTTTCAGCTAGTGAAATTTTATTTTCCATGATGTCGTACAATCATATCTATAGTTAATTTTTCGACATAGAAATCTATGATAAAGTCGAAAAATTTTGGATTATTCAACAACGTTACCAAATATAATTATCAGAGAGCAACATTGCCCTGATGATTGTAGGCATGCCATAGTAATGAGTATGAATTAAAATGAAGCCTAAATCAGATAGTTTTTTACTGATTACCACCATTTACTTAACAATGTCTTCAATTATCGAATATGAGTTGCGTAATAGTCGCTAAGAAAACAAATAAGTAATGACTGATAGAAATGTAGAAGAAAACTGTCTGTTCGATGAATACGCACAAAATGAGGAATAACCAAATAGCCAAAGAAGATAACCTCAAAAATAGAAAGGCGTCCTAAGACGATTACAGAATGAGGAGTTGACCTTGCATTACTGGAACACACAAAACAAACTTGAAGTGAAGTATAGATGAGCATTGGTTGCAATTGCATGACGCCATGAAAATGGCGGGAACAGTCAGTTGTGGGTTTGCGAAACGTCCCGCTTTTAAGCACTGGGTTTCTTCTGGTTCCTTACAACTCATTGAAGCCCGTCGGTCTACTCCGGGTGACCGTGAGTTTGACCATAAACGAAGGATTTTACGTAAGGAAATTGGGCAAAGCTTGCGTAAGGACCGAGAAGCCTGGTGGTCGAAGCGTGCTAATGAGCTGGAAGCAGCAGCTGCATCTGGTAACTACCGGAAGCTCTTCCAGCTCATCCGAGCCACTGACAGCAAGAAGTCTGGTGTGAGTGAAACAATCTGCGAGGATGATGGGATGCCAATCACTAACATCCATCGACGTCTTGGACGATGGGCAGAATTTTTCGAAGGGCAGTTCAACTGGCCTGCTGCTCCGGCAACATCGGTCAGACTGTCCTGCCCTCCATGGCCGGTGACGACTGATCCACCAAACGAGGAGGAAGTCCGCAAGGAACTCCAACTCTTGAAGCGTTACAAATCACCTGGCCCAGATGACTTACCTCCGGCTCTTTTTAAAGATGGTGGTGACTTTTTGACTAAGGAATTGACGACGTTGTTTACAAAGGTTTGGGAACTAGAGAATGTACCAACGTCATGGAATGAGTCGATAGTTGTCCCTATCTTTAAAAAGGGTTCACGTCGTTCCTGTAACAACTATCGGGGGATAAGTCTACTTCCGATTGCGTCCAAGCTATTGGCTTCCGTCATACTTCGTAGGTTGTTCAAAACCCGAGAAAGATTGACTCGCGAGGAGCAGGCTGGGTTTCGTTCTGGTCGAGGATGTATTGATCATATCTTCACCCTCCGCCAAATGTTAGAACACCGCCATACTTATCAAAGGCCAACAATCGTAGTGTTTCTTGACATCAGGGCTGCCTTCGATTCGTTGGACAGGACTGTTCTCTGGGATTGTCTATTGAAGAAGGGTGTGCCTGAGAAGTTTATTAACATCCTAAAAGCCCTATATAAAAACACCTCAGGCAGAGTGAGGGCATACAACCACCTCTCTCCATTGTTCCATTCGAGCAGTGGGGTTAGGCAGGGTTGCCCAATCTCACCATTCCTCTTCAACTTTGCCATCGATGACATTCTGGAAACAGCTCTGATGAATGTAAGTAATGGTGGTGTGGATCTGTTGCCTGGAGAAAGACTTCTCGACCTTGAGTATGCGGACGATATTGTCTTACTGTGCGATAATGCCCAAGGCATGCAATCCGCACTTAATCAGTTGGCAATCAGTGTCCGTAGGTATGGTATGTGCTTTGCACCTTCGAAGTGCAAAGTACTTCTACAAGACTGGCAGGATTCCAATCCTGTACTCACCCTGGATGGTGAGCAGATAGACGTAGTCGAGAAGTTCGTGTATCTGGGTAGCTGCATAAGTGCTGGTGGGGGTGTGAGTGATGAGATCAATGCACGTATAGTGAAAGCCAGAGCGGCTTATGCCAATCTGGGCCACCTTTGGCGCCTTCGTGATGTTAGTCTGGCTGTAAAAGGTCGGATCTACAACGCGTCGGTGAGAGCAGTTTTGCTCTATGCTTGTGAAACCTGGCCTCTCCGAGTTGAGGACGTTAGACGACTCTCTGTGTTCGATCATCGCTGTCTCCGAAGGATTGCTGACATTCAGTGGCAACACCATGTCAGTAATGCAGAGGTTCGGCATCGTGTGTTCGGGCACAGAGATGATAATTCAATTGGTGTCACCATCTTGAAACACCGACTTCGGTGGCTTGGACATGTTCTACGAATGTCGTCCCAGAGAATTCCACGTCGTGCATTATTTGCCGACTCTGGGACTGGTTGGAAAAAGCGGAGAGGTGGTCAGTGCATGACATGGTGTCGTGGTATGAAAGAAAGCTGCAAAGGACTGGCTTGTGTCGGTCCTTCACGACTCCCTGGTTGGGGTCTGAGAGATGGTGCTACACAGTGGCTAGAGACGTTATCAGATATGGCTCAGAATAGAAGCCAGTGGCGATCCTGCTGTAACCTTCTTTTACTTTCTTCATAAAAAGTGGTTGTGTCTCCTTACCTGAAAGATTTCTTCTGACTGTACCTTTCCGTTCCCTCGTTACTACCACACTACCTTACACCAATCTCTTCGTTATTGTTCTCTTTTGCTTCTGCGCTCCTTAGTTTTTTTTTCTATTTCTCTTCAAATTCTCATTGTTTTGTGTGGCGCATATATATTGGCGCTCTCTTGTACCAATATTCATGTGTTCAAATAAATAAATAAATAATGAAGTGATCAGCTGAATAAAGCTTCTAACATAAGCAATTCTCTAGATTGAGTTCTCTTTTTGGGACAGTTCTTTTAACTTCGTAGATGATCTTCACATCGATTGAAAACCGGAAATCACTGGATAGCTTTTCCTAACTAGTAATGTAGTCATAATCAGTGTGCATTTATGGCCCTAGGTCTTTTGGTTTCGCGGTTAGCACCTAGACCCCAGACCATTGAGCATTTCTTGCACTCATCAATTCATAATATTACGTGACTATCTTTCACCGTCCATGGTGTATAACTGTCGCACATCCAACAAGTTTGATCTCCATTTGTCACAGCTTCTCTTTATGACTCTAAATCATATGCTTACTAGTAACTAGCCTCAGCACGCGATCTCTAAAGTTCTGGTGAGAAGCTGTGATTAGTGGAGTTCGTCTATGCCGGATGTAAGACAGATATTCACCTCACGCTATGAAAAATAATCGCACAGTATCGGGAATTGTCTGAGGTTAGGCATATATACTACCAGATAGTGGTTCAATAATCTGGAGGTTAGGAGTCTCCTTGTGAGACCAAACCTTTTGGGTCTGATCCCTTCTGGTGGTGTCCTGGATGTATATTGCTTAGGACGAGGAAGGTGTCTTGTGCTATCATCTGGTTTCCTGTGGTAGTCTAGCTAAAATCAGTTTGTTGTTTTTAAAATGGAAATGAAATATTTAAATAAGTATTCCGTGTTACTTAGAATGATAATTTGATATTTAGATAAAAAATAATAAGGCACATTATTTGAATAATAAACATTAATTCTCATATTTACTCTGATTCGGGTTTTTACAGCGGAGTCCTTTTTTTACGAGATGAAGTTGTTAATCTCACGTTCATTCCCTTCCTCTCCTAATCCAGGCTTAGGGCTAGCATTAACCATAGAGGTACTGCTAAATGATGTTGCGTTTACCAAACTTTATTTTTTAAAAAAAGAACCATCATGGTTCGCATTCATGACCCTAAAGTGACTTCTAGAACTGGTTTTCAAGGGATTTAAATTCACTAAAAACTTGTCTGAAGTGCGACGAATAAAAAACATTGGAAGACTAAAATGCCGTAACACTTACGAGGATGATAAACAAAGCAGGGATGTTTCACTCACAATTACGTCCTAGGAAGGATAGGTACAACGCAGTAACGCACTACTCCAAAACTACCACAATAAGCAAAATATTAAAGTACAATCATTGTCAAGAAAAAAACAACTAATTATTAGTTCCTCGTGATATGTGTAGGTGTTTAATTCTTTAAGTTATGGAAAAGTGAAATTCTTGTTCCCATCCATTAAGAATCAAAAAGAAATAAAAACTGATTGGTAATGAAATGAATGGTTTTCGAAAACCAATTGTAGTCCACCTCAGTACCACTGAAAATAAAATAAACTTCTGTTCTCACTTTAATTACGTCATAAAATTTTCCGCCGCTGTCACTCTCAAGAGTTAGCTCCACACTTTGCAGCCTCTTCACAAAAGGATTGTTATGCCGACGATGTCAAAATATGGAGAGCGATACGAAGTAAGGGTGATAGCATAGAACTCAGAAATGACCTGGAGAAATTGTCCGAACTGTCTTAAACCTGGCAGTTGCCTAAACTTGAGTACTGCATACAAGCGGCTAGCCCCTTGTAACGTGACTGAGCGCCTTCAGATAGCGTGTGTTTATTGAAACTAGTGCGGTCATCATTAATGTCGAAGGCCTAAAATACTCTTTACTTTGAGGATTTATCTATCGATGCATAAGCCTATACCAATTAGTGAGATTTAATACAGAGCGAAGCTCACCATGGATGCTGTTCTCACCAGAAAAGTGAGCAAACACAGATTCTACTACTCTAGGTCATCAAAATAGGGTTAAAGGTCAAGTAATTCTATCCCCAAAATAACGAGCCGAAAGAATGAACGTCTCTGTACCAAGCTTTTTCGGTTATCATACGGTGGCATACACGAAGCGTGTCAAACAAACAAACATTTAATCGGTTAATCATTTTCTCATGTGTGTGAGTTTTTGCTGAAACTTTGTATTCTTTCCCTTATTGGCTGTATGTAAAGTCAGTCAATTATAAACGACTCACATGTGTTTTGAAACTTACCTTCACAAACTCTTTCCGTATTCTCTTCTCTTATGCTGTATTCCTGGACTGTCTACAGTAGATCATTTACATCTATCTTTTTGTCTTTGGATCCTTTGAGCGGAAGTAAGTTCAGTTATAATCTAATGGTTAGGCTAAAAGTATGTAGCGAGTAACCACAATTCGATTACACGTAGGATCGAAAGAGCACGGTAAATTACCAAAGCTTTCTTATCAAATTGGTGTTCAGTTATCTCAGTCTACATTAATAAGTGAAGGTTTTGATCAGCTCCTGCTTTATCCCTGTTTATTTCCCTAAGGTACAGGTACCTCAAATTTAAAAAAATGAAGGTGGCAGAACTATAAGGCATAAGAACTGCTTTCTTCCTATGTTATCACTTTATTCATCATAGGGGGTATTATCCACTCCCAAGCCTGAAACTATTTAGGCATAGGCAACACGAGAAGATCTGAGCTATTTATTTTCCTAATCCAAACTTGAATATTAACCGAGAATTTATAATTCCGTTCAATGTCATGATAAGGTAATGATCCTTCTTTAGATTGGTAAAAATATATCATGTCATCCTACGTACACAGTTTGGAAGACCTATTAGCGAGGGTTGGCCTCCGGACCATATCTTTCTCAAGAGATTTCCGAGACCACTCTGAATTACGATGCACAATATTAAGTAATTACAATTGGCAAGGCGCAAATTTTATTTACCTCCTGAGAAGCACCTCCCAAGCATTTAAATATGACAGCACAGATAGTGTCTGTGTCATGCACATTCTCTAAAGGTAAACGCTCATAGGACTATAAGCTTCTCTCTTAGGAATGACTGATTCCTGAGCGATGATCTTTGTCACAACTGTCAAGTTCTGTTTAGTGCAGGTCTAGTTCCTTCAATTAGGTTGCAGTACGGACACTAGTCTATAAACCGTTCTAAGATAGTTCATGGTGATTCTGAACAAGGATAGAAAACGAACAAGCATGCTTATCTACTAGGAAGACTACTGGGGGTCAGTTCTTGAAGGAGCTGTTTTTTTTATTGGCACCATACAAAACTAACAACGGGGCGATTCCAATGGTGTCAAAGCTGGCAATCGAATAACAAACGGATAAATATAGCATCGTGACACAGTTTGATGACATTTGTAATGTATATTCTATCTGCTCCCTGCGTCTTTTCCTTTTTTCCTCCTCAGCTGGAAGTTGGTTTGCTCTCTCCCACAGTAGGCTGTTGTTGATGGTATCCGGTCAACAGACACTGAGTATATTGCGTAGACAAGTGTTTATTAATACGTGTACTTTTTTATGGTGGTTGCAGTAGTTCTCGAAGTTTGAGTTTCTTACAATAGAACAAACTATCTTGACACTCGTACTGAAGATTATGAATTTGATGTTGGTTGATCTGATTGTTGGGTGTTTTTTTATGCGAAATTGGTAAATGAATGACTTTTGCCCTAGTTCAATTAAAGCGAACTGTACAAATTCGTTGATATGGTGTTCAAAACTTTAAAAATGATAACGAAAATCTGCAGATTTTGCTATAGATTAAATGTGATTGTTTCTAAATCCTAACTATAAACTGTCAATTCTAACCCGAACGCTACAATCTATATAGCGACAAAGTATTGATGAATTTTAATTGGTGTTAGTTTGTAATGAGCACTCTGAATTAGATCTGCGGCAGAACTATCCGTTTGGGAGATGGCAAGCCTCCGGGGTTTATTTTGAGTATATGGCTTTTAAGTTACTGAACTTGTGCAATTTTGCATGTAAATCACATCATTTATTAACTCCCTGTCCTACCACCCCTAATTCGATGGCTGTCCTGCTTTCACCGCACACTTGGTGGGTGGATAAAGGTTCTTTATCAGACATTAAAAAGGAGAATATATTTGTAAAATCTCAGCGAATGAAATTTAAGTAAATCCAACGTTTCGCCAGGCAATCTGGTACAAGCTTTTTCAAGGAAAATATAATCAAACAACAAAATATTCGATAATTTTGTTGTTTGATTATATTTTCCTTGAAAAAACTTGTACCGGATTGCCTGGCGAAACGTTGGATTTACTTAAAATTCATTCGCTTTGATTTTACAAATATATTCTTCTTTTTAATGTCTGAAATTAACTCGGCGCCCAAATATTGTGAAACTATTCTTTTAAATTTAGACGAAAGTTCTTGTTTATTTTCTCTATTAGAATTCCACATGTTCAACAGGATAGATTAAAGAGCGAATATATGAAGGCTATCTCCTAGTTGTTGATCAACGAACTGTAAACATCGTCCATGTTGACCGGTCAATCGTACAACATCCAGTAATCAGCTTCCTATGGGAGGAATATATTCGGCTTTGAAAATAGTTTGGGCGGGGTTTTGTGTTGCTTAGTTAACACTACAGTCCTTTAGGGACTGAGGGAGATTATTCCAGCTGATGCATCACTATCACCCCACGTACAATTCGATTTTCAATAGTAAGGGTAGATAGTTCGTAAAATAATGTTAATCTCTGCAACATAATTTGAAGTAAATACTCATTTTACAATGGAAATGTTTTATCTGTGGGTTTGATACCGTCTATTCGCGAAGGGCATTCCAGTCTATGAATAATCAATGAGAAAAATAGGATCACATTCTAGGTTGAATTCATTTAGGTTTCTTGATTCGTAATGAATACGCTAAGAAATATATCTCTTCGCAACCAGGAACATTATTGTTTAGTTCTGTTTAATAAAGATTGGCGTTTGGATTGCTATGACCTTGACTAGTTGAGGGCTTTAGACTGCTGGTTCTACCTCGTTGTATTCACCCTCTCGACAAATTGACTTATCCGGTGTATTGAAACCAATGTCAGTCAAGGTACACGACGTAAAGTCTTTTTATTTCTGTTACAGAGCAACGTCAAGAGGGAAGTAAACCAAGTTTCTAAAGTAAAATCAAGCAAGCGACATGCTGAAGTAAGGCAAAAGTATAATATTAGCTTATTATTTTTAGACCCAACCTGATGGTATTCCAAAAAAGGTGAGTGAATCTTAACAATATTTCAGCAATTCAGACGGTTAGACTTGATGAAAAACAGGAAGTAACAAAGCCTGTTGAAGGTGGTGTTTCCAAAGTAAGTTTGTTTTTATTTCACGATTGATTCTGTACAACCTTTTTCGTTAGTTAGTTAGTAGAATACACGGTGAGACTTTAATTTATGGGTGACCAAGCGACGCTTAACTGACCTTGAGAGTGAACAATTAATTAGGACTAAATGAGGGTTATAAAGCAGTTAGAATTCCCATTTACAGTTGATGGTTAGGGCTGAAAATTAGATTTAGGGTTTTCATCATGAACTGACATCAACTATAATGCCAAAACTCTATTTAGCCAAATGTGTGGGTAAATGCTGCGCCCAAATTCGTGACTCGTTATCTTATATTTGATTGGTTCGTCCATAAATTATAGTCTTGCCGTTTACTTGTAGTGTGTTCTCGATATAAAAATAACTGGTCAGCTCAAAGGGATCAATCGTTTCAAGTCTACTTTGATAGGCCATTATGTGTTTAAGAAAATTCTACTTGAATCTATTCATTATTAGTGTTTTTTGATCTTTCGGGGTTCCATTGAAGTTCAACTTTCCTCTTTAGTTAGAAAGTATCGATAATGTGTGTGCCCATTTGGATTTCAGCACTTTACAGGAAATCTCCGATCAGTAACGTTATAAAATTCTAATACCCTGTGTTCTAAATGTGCTAATGTTATTAAGCTCCCGTCTCCTATTCATCCACATAAAAATTGTACAAATATGAACTTTCTGGCAAACTTAATTTGAAAAGCTCAAATATTTTTTAATACTTATGAACCCGAACTGCACAACTACAAAGTTCTGGATGTCACTTTTGATTGTTGCCTCAGTCTTACATGAATAAAACTTTATATCATGGGTGTAATTCTGATCGTATACGTAGTTAAGTATCGTATTTCTTTATAAAAAACCTACAGCTGTAGACTAGTATGATTATTTCCTGTTTCAGGTACACAAAGCAAAGCAAGTAAAACATACACTTGGCAGAAAAATTGCGGTATTCAAAATTTACACAAGGTTTATCAATTTATTTTCAGGCTCCAAAAGGTAAAGTTTCATCAACACTCCTCGAAAATGATGGACAAGTTTGTCTGTTTTTCCCCTTTTTGTGTGTTTAAAT